CCATGTGTAGAGGACCCCAAAGGATCACCATTCAATTTGATACGAATCTCTAGAAAAGCTATAACATGGGTGTGAGACTTGACTTTTCTATATTTCCATTCCAAATTTAATGGTGATCCTTTGGGGTCCTACTCACATGGGTAGGGGATGGTCCTATAGGATCATTTCTCTCTACATATATAAATGATACTACAAAGCGCCTATAGGTGAAAATGAACAGTGATTTCGCCTACCCTCATCACCATCCAAAGTTCATCGCATGGTCACGATTATCCAGTAATGTTTTTTTTTATATATATATAAATCGGAATGATCTGAAATTTGGAGCGTGTGTTCATTAAAAAATAGGTGAATCTACGAAAAATATATAAAAAAATTTTACATAAAAAAATTGACCAAAATACCATCAAATATTTTCATAAATAATTTTTTATATTTTTATTAGGTGTGCATCACTAAAATATGTATATGCTCCAAGTTTGAAATCATTCTGATTTGTAGAAAAAAAATAAGAAATGAAATACTACCGAACAATCGTGACCGTACAATCAAATTTGGACAATGATGAGGATAAGTGAAATCACTATTTATTTTCTCCTATAGGTGTTCGGAAGACTTTCCTTTTATTTATATATATATATATATAAGAATCATGTCAGCTCACGGGCTGACAGCTATAGTTTCAACTAACATTCCAGATTGATTATAGCCCCAATTTAATGGTCACAACTTCATTTCATATTTGAATTTTTATTTTTTTATACAAATCCAATCACTTGAAAAATATGAGAATCTAATAAAAATAAGAGAATCTAATATAAATAAATAAATAAATAATCCGTAAGATATAAATTGATCAAAATACTCTTGAAACTGTTTAGAGTTATTTTAGTCAATTTATATTGTACGAAAAAAAAAAATTTATATATTTATTAGGTGAGTCTTGATGAGTAGAATATATGTCTAAAATTTCAATTGAGTATGTCTACATATATATATTTGAACTAACGTTAAATTTAGTTTGTCTATACTTCTCAAAATCTTATACCTATAAAAGATATTTAAAAATAATCTAAAGTATAAAAAATTACCAAACTAACCCCAGATTATATAGGGAGTAGTTTAGTAATTCATATATTTCAAATTGAGGAATGAAACCACACTTCCAAAAAACCATGAGCAACGGTCCAATGCAACGGTTGTATTATAATATAATGCAACGACAATTCTAGAAAACCATATTTGCGGTATTTGTATCACCTCAAATTTTACACACACACTCTCTTCATCTCAATAATCAATCTCTCCCAAAAAAAAGTTCAATTTGAACACTAGATATGATCAAAATGAATCCCCTCCAAAAACGAATCTAGATCATTTATTTTGTGAATTGCAAGATCTTAGTTTTTATAAACTCAAAATCATTTTTTTCTTTTTTAACATTGTTCATCTAATAATAATAAAGCCATCCAATAAAAAAATGAAAATGAAAAAATCATTCTAAAACTTAGATTTAAGCATCTCATCAAAATGAACAGCTTATGTTAATTGGGCTAAAAAATTACTTTTTAGGTCGTGTTTTCATTTTATTTTTTTTTGTGATTGTTAATTAGAATGAAAATAGTTTATATTTCAAAATTTGAATCAAATAAATAGCCATAAGATGGGTTTTTAAGGTTGTTGTATCGTATTACTATACAACAATTCTAGGATATCATTGCTCAAAGACCATATCCATTATGTTTGTATGGCCCCAAAATCTCAAGCACCCTCTTATCATCCTCATAGTCAATCGCATTAAATAATAATAATAATAATAATAATAATAATAATAATAATAATAATAATAATAATAATAATAATACTAATAATAATAATCAATAACCATAACAATAACAATAACAACAACAATAATAATAATAATAATAATAATAATAATCAATTTGCACCCTAAATAGATCAAAATGAATCCCCTCCAAAAATGAATCTATTCCATCCATTTGTTGAATTTCAAAATCTAAACTTTAATGAACTCAAAGCATTTTTTTTTTTTTTTTAATATTACTCATCTGGTGATAATAAAGCCATCTAAAAAATTTGAAAAGGGTAAAAAACCTTAAAACGATCTAAACATTTCACTAAAATGGATGGCCGAAGTTAATTGAGCTAAAAAAGTACTTCGATTATTTTTTCAAATTTCACTTTATTGTGATTGTTCAGTATAACCAAAAATGTTTATGTTTAAATATTGAGGTAAATGATATGACCTTAACATAGGTTTTGAATATTGTTTCATTATATTAATATGTAACCGTTGCATAAAATCACTCCCCAAATTAATTAATTTTTAAATATTTTTTCATAAGTACAATATTAAGAAGTAGGTACACTAAGCTGCAGATAAATCCAATGTATAAAAATAGAATATGACTGGAATGTAAATATGAAATATACGGAACTACTATTAAATTTACAAAATTGAACAAGATTTATATGCAAATTTCCCACAAATAAACGCGTTTTCTTAAACTAAAGTTGTAGAATATCAAATATAGAGAGAGAGAGATCTAGTCCAAGGATCATCTAGAGATGTATATGCAAATAATATGAACTAACTTTGTGGTAATTTTTATTTTCAGTGTTTTTTAAGAGATTGTTCGAATCATGCCATTATATGTATATGTCCTGTCTCATCCAGTGAAAGAGTAAATTAAAAAATCAGGTCTTTTATTTCTTCGAAAACGTAGTCCTCGTTAAAAGAACGAATTTTAAAGGGATTATTGCTAAACCGTGGTCTTGATTACAAGAGAAAAGCAACTCTTTCTATTGTGAAAATGATTCAAGCAATGGTTTAAAAAACGGATCGGTGACCCGGATCGGGCTTCCCAAAAACCGATTCGGATCGGCGAATCGGCGATCCGGA